CCCCAAAACCCCAAAACCCCAAAACCCCAAAACCCCAAAACCCCTTCGTTATTTATTTCTGTAGAAATCAGCCATGATTAATTTAATATTTATCTTAATTGATCCAACATGGGTGCTAGGAATGCAAGAGGACTAGTAAACAATGATCCTAACGAGTTTCATCAATCTAATGAAGACTCCTTTAAGGCTGCTCTTTGGCTAAAAGTACTGAAGTTTGATTTTAACTTCGATCATGACGATCTTCAGTCAACAATCCAGTCAACCTTTACTGTTGATTGTACAAATGATCTTGGAGAGCAAATTCTCCCTCACACAGCCCACATCATTGAGATGGAATTTAGGAAATTTATGTATCTGAATTTCCTGTCAATTTTGATCCCGAACAAAAAGGCTCCTTTCCAAAAAGAGGTAAGTAGGATCCTTCGTCTATTCTTGTTCTGTCTGATAAGTAAATTTAGGATTGTGAGAAAAACAAAAAGACTTATTATACTACTGCTTATTTCCCTTCCCCGTACATTGACAGATTCTGGAGACTTTGTATCGTTCATGATGACTGCTATGATAGATTCTGTGATGAATTCGTTGGAGGCTACATTCATAGGGACTTCGATAGTGGCCTTGCAATCCATCGAAACGAGGATGAAGAAATTCCAGAAGAATTTAGAGATACAGACAAAATTCAAGTAAAAAGAGAGCAACATGACGCATACAAGAGGTATAAAATTACAAGAAAGCATATCAAGGAGCTTCAACCGAATGAACTTTTTTGGCCTAAGTATCCTTCAGAAAGATGTTTCCTGACTGATTATCGATATGAAGTAGTTATTAAGATCAATACAATTGATGAGATTATTCAAAGTATAGCATTACAATATCATAAAGAGCCTGATCTAATCAATCAAGAGAGTTATATGGCCTGAATTGTTAGGCTAGCATGGGAAAATATGCAGAGTTTTATCACTAATGCTGAGGAAAAATAAACTACCAGCTGGGTGTAAAGAGAAGGCAAACGATCATAAGTTGAGTAACCATGCCTATAAACCAGTTGAGCAATTCCAAAAGATCTTATACCATCGGTTCCCACATACCTTTGCTGAAACCTTGATGGACAGATTCATGGTAGAAGGAGTGACAGCAAGCAGATGGATTCTAGAATATATTAAATTTATATGCCTTTCAACTCTTTCAAAGAGCGAGCTTTTCCCGAGTGATATTGTAGACAGAGTTTGGCATCTTCACATGACTTATACTAAGCATTACAAAGATATGATTAATAGCATTGAAGGAGTTGTTCCTGACCATACTCAAGAATGATGCCATAAAGTTGATGATGGGGATCAGAAAGAAGTCTACCAAGATACTCTTACTTTCTATGAATCTGTGTTCAAAGATTCTCCGCCTGAAGACATCTGGCCTGACCCAGATGAAGAATTTGGTGATGATAAAGATAGACTAATTGGAGTAAACCTTTACAGACTCACTCTTATGCATTACGGGTTGAATCAGAATCCAAACTTACTTGGAATTGCCCCTATTGCAGGAATGGATGAGGTAAAATTCAGTGTGGGTAATCTACAAACAAAATTCCTCAAAAGTTTCTTCTTAAGAAAAATCCGTAGAAAGAGAGTTCCTTACAAGGAGGATCCCCTAAAGTAAGACTTCGTTTTGTAATTTATAGTTGGAGAAGGAATTATAAAGTCAAGAATATTTACAAGACATCTCACTGTAAAGAATTTGAAGTTCCAAATTTTGATTATAAAAGATTAGAAAAAGCTACAGAAAAATCCCAGATCGACGTATCAAAAGCTGGAGGATCAGATCTCCTTGTATCAGGAGGTCTTGCTATTATGAAGAATGCTTTTGATGAAAAGTCGATAAAATAGCTTAAACTACTACGAAGAGATTGTACAATATTTTCCTGAGAAATTCAAAACAGTAATATATCCTTTCACTCTGGATGATATTGCAGATGATGCTTGGGCTGGCAATGACATTCTTTTTATGATCCCAGAAATGCTCAGAACTGTAAAGTTCCTCAAAGTTAACAACATAAAGAACGATTTGCTTGAAAATGAATATTTCCTGAGATGTAAAAGAAGTGAAATCAAAATTCATCCAGATGAATACTACGAAGACTACAATTCTGACGGCATGGAAACATTCCAAGACGATACAAATAATTCAATGCTGGATGAAGAAGAACAAGTGAAATAATATTATTAAAAAATCAATTTTATTTCACTGCCTCGGGGTTTTGGGGTTTTGGGGTTTTGGGGTTTTGGGG